CATGCGCGCCACTCGGGTCTCGAACTGCTGAACTACTGACCTTCCACAGCCTGGAGTTCAGCATCTTAACCACTTGAGCCACCGCAGCTCCAAGTACAGATAAGGGAGCAGTAAAATTATAAAATATAATGGCATCTAAAATTATAAATAAGAATTTAAAAACTTTGAAATACAAAAATAATAGAATCAAAATTATGATCAAAAATTAGGTTTAGGCCTATCTGTACTTTATCTCTTTCCTAGTTTGGTATGCCAACCAACCAAATTTGGCAACCATCCTAGTCAGCTTTTGATTATCTCCTGCCAGCATAATTGACAAAAGTATCCTTCTATTACGACCTGGAAAGGAGTTAACTATAGGCTTGATCAAAACTTCCCTGATATTATGATATATAATACAATCGAAAATTACATGTTCCAATGTTTCATCAGATCCCATCCCACATATACAACTTTTCCTCAATGATCTAGTAAATCTGGCCTCTATTATGGCTGAGGGTAAGCTCTCTCTTCCTGTGCACCCCTGTGCAGCGCACACCCATGCTCCACACATTGTTTCAGTTGTGATTGCATGCCTTTGCAAGCCGCCAGGGCCGTGGAGCCTCTATTTCCCTCCCCACAACTTTACAGAATTCCTGAGCAGTGGGAGGGGGAGGGAGGAAGGCAGGTCTCCCAGGTAAGGGGATCAGATGTTAGAGCCAGTTTGGTGTCGTGGTGAAGTGCGCGGACTCTAATCTGGGAGAACCGGGTTTCGTTCCCCACTCCTCCACTTGCAGCCAGCTGGGTGACCTTGGGTCAGTCACGAGTTCTTTCAGAGCTGTTCCCTCTCTCAAAAGAGCTTTCTCAGCCCCACCGACCTCGCAGGGTGTCTGTTGTGGGGAGGGGAAGGGGAAGGAGTTTGTAAGCTGCTCTAAGACTCCTTTCGGTAGTGAAGGGCGGGGTATAAATCCAATCGCTTCTTCTTCTTCTAGAAGAAGCGAAGAGAAGAGATTGGATTTAAGTCTCAGAGCAGTTGACAAACTTCTTTCCCTTCCCCTCCCCACAACAGGCACCCTGGGAGGTGGGGCTGAGAGAGCTCTGACAGCAACTGCCCTTGAGAGAACAGCTCTGACAGAACTGTGGCTTGCCCAAGGTCATCCAGCCAGGTGCAAGTGGAGGGGTGGGGAATCAAACCCGGTTCTCCCGGATTAGAGTCCGCGCACTTAACCACTACACCAGTCTGGCAGGTGGATCACCAGGACTGTCTGCCCAGTCATGACAGTTTTCTCACAGGGCCCTTCCTGTCTCTCTGAGCACGTGCAAAGAGGATGGAAAGCAGGTGTGCAGCTTGACTCCATTTCCGGGCTAGACTTTTTGGAGTGCCTTGGATTTCTGCTGGCTGCCCGGGAAGACATCGTCAGGACTGGGTTTTCCACAGCGGACTTTGTCATAAAAACATTATTTCAAGTTTTTCTGAGGGTTGGGGGAGGGGTTGCCTGGGGCGTTGGGGGCGGGAAAAGGAACCTTTTTTCCTTGTTCTGGTTCTTTTAAACATAGTTTTCCTTGTTTATGCTCTGTGCTGTTTTTAAAAGGGTTTGGTTCTCTTCTCTTGGCTTGTTTTAGAATGTGCAACCACTTGCATTTTCTGTTTCTAAAAGTGTTTTGTTATATATTTTTAAAGGGTTTGTATTGGGGAGGGGAGAATTTGCAGATGGAAATGGGGAAAGGGCCTGAGGTTTCCTCCTCTGCAAATTTATTTATTAATTTATTATTTCAATTTTTATCCCACCTTGCCGGACAAGCTGGCTTAAGGTGGTGAGGTGGCTCAATAAGCTAGTGCTCGGTCCTGGTAGCACAGAGCGCTTCTGAGCATGCACAAAGTGCCATTACCTGACCTCTGAACAAGGGCTGCTGCAGCTTAGTGTTGCCAGAAGACGTTTCCCAGTCTGCTTTCTGGCCACTGCGGTTTGTTTAGCACTGTGGTGACTGCATCGCGGGAAGGTCAGGAGTCGAATTCTCTTCCGGATGCGTTGCAGCGATTCCACGCAACCCTCTGATTGTGCCCTCTTCCCCAGGAGATGATGTACATGTGGAACGGATTCACAGTCCTGCGCAAGCAGCAGGAACTGCTCGAGGGCACGCTGAGCACGCTGACGCAGGCGGAGAAGCAGCTGCAGGAAGCGCCAGGTAACACGCTGACGCGACGGGGAATACAAGCAGGGATGGGTATGTGGGAGTCAAGCATACACAGGTGCGCTGAAAAAGTCCTCACTTCTGTTGGTGTGTGCATCTTTTGGAGCTACTTCACATGGCTGGATAAAGGGCCCGGCTAGTGTAAGGCACTGGTGGAAACTGATTTTGGTGTAGGGGTTAAGTGTGCGCACTCTAATCTGGGAGAACCAGATCTGATTCCCCACTCCTCCACTTGCAGCTGCTGGATGACCTTGGGCAAGCTCTAGTTCTGACAAGAGCTGTTCCTGAAAAAGAGCCGTTTCTGTCAGAGCTCTCTCAGCCCCACCTGCCTCCCAGGGTGTCTGTTGTGGGATTCCCCACTCCTCCACTTGCAGCTGCTGGATGACCTTGGGCAAGCTCTAGTTCTGACAAGAGCTGTTCCTGAAAAAGAGCCGTTTCTGTCAGAGCTCTCTCAGCCCCACCTGCCTCCCAGGGTGTCTGTTGTGGGAAGGGGGAAGGGAAAGGAGTTTGTAAACTGCTCTGAAACTCCTTTGGGTAGGAGTCTTCTTCCTAATATCCAGCCAATACCTTCCCGTCCTTAATTCCAACCCATTATTGCAAGACCTCTCCTCTGCTGCCAACAGAAACAGCTCCCTGCCCTCCTCTAAGTGACACA